GTGTGTGTGTGTGTGTGTGTGTGTGTGTGTGTTCCGCCTCAGCCGCTGTCCAACACACAGGGGAGGGGTTTTCACACGCGTACCAGCGCAGCCAGTTGGTGCGTGTTCATACTTGTAGCAGCACTTATGTTGTGAAGGAAATGCATAGTTCTTATTAAAAATTGTCATATTTCTTCAAAAGCTGAGTTTGAAAAAGCTGTGTGAATGTAGGTTTATGTTATATAAAAATGTTTTGGATAATGTTTTGGATAATTTTACCTTATAAATATTTACTTTATATTTCTGTAATTAGATATATCAGGGTTTTTAAATCATTTAACATTTTTAGTATTTATTGGTTTAGTAATTGGAAAATGTAAGAAACATTTTCGTATCAACCACATATTTGTCCCATAATTTAACATCATAAATACAGATAAAAAATGTTTGTGCCTTAAAAAGATAAAACATTTAAATTACACCCCATCAGAAAACCTTTTTATTGGCAACAGGGTTTATATCTTACCTTGAAAAGTATTTCTGCAATTTAACATTTAAGAAGTTCCATGAATTTTAATGTTTGTGAATTCAAAATAAAACAGTGGTTTACAAACTCAACATGTTCCTGTTGTTTTTTTCTGAAATGTAAATTGATTGCTGTAGTTTTACAAGTGTGTAAATTTTGCATAATATCCAAGACTAAAATGAAGCTGTCTTGTTCCCTTCAGGTTTGTACAGAAAGTTGTAAGACCTTTGGCGCCACCTGCTGGCAAACTGTTAACTTGCAGCTCCGCTCCTGCCCCGGTGGCCTTGATCACTTGAACTTAAGATAGTCAAAAATGTAACGTTCTACAGAAGCCGAGAGCGGACGTTTCCCACTGACAATTTTTAATCCCCTAAGTGTGAATACATGCTGAGCTGCAGTCAGGCCAGCCACTTCCTTTAATGACAAGGGCTGAAATGAAATTTATCTGTGCAAAACAGATGAACTGCGATTTTAGCCTGTGTTATTGTAAACTTTAGTGACCACAGCCCATCTTCATGGTTACCAAATTATACAAAGAACAGTCTGGTAGGAGGG